CAGATGCACAAAAGTGTGACGCAAAATTACTTTCATTTGGATTTTCGATTGGAGTGGACACGTGGCAGATCTCACCAACCGATATCAATATCAAGTAGTTTAGTATTATAAGAAGTTTAGTATTATAAGAAGTTTTGTATATAAGATTAAAGAAAATATTAACAAGATGACATGTTATATTAAACTCTTTAGACATGTCATCTTTTATAACCTAAATCTTCAAATTAATTCTGTGGAGAAACCTGTTTGTCTTTAAAGATGTCTCGTCTTTTTTTTTAAACAATATTTATTCATGATTTACAATGGATAATTACATGATATGAGAAATGGTTTCAGAAACAAGCCGAAGCTTATACTAATCCGTTACCAATCAATTTAACATTCAAATATACAATTATAATTTATTTACATTTTTATGATATTGTTATGTCAATATAGTGCAGAAAAGTGAAGAAGAGAACAGTGATTTTGGCCTGGGTTCGAGGAAGGAGACAGTGTTCAGATGCTATACATATCTGCTGCGTGATCACCAAAGCTATTTGGGAAAGGTTGGAGTAGTACAAAACATTACACCATTAGAGGCGTACATGGCTTAAAGATGTCTCGTCTATTTGAGGGCGAGTCGTAACGCATTTGGTTAGAGTACTGGAATCTTTACATGACGTCATTTGCTTGGTTACGAGAACAAATGGTGGTCGTGGGTTTTAATTTTGGTTGTTGTCCTTTTTATAACTTAAATCTGTTAAACTAATTCTGAAGAGAACATGTTTGTGTTTAAGGATGTCTCGTCTATTTGAAGACCAACTGTATCGTTGTTGTTAAGAGTGTTGCAATCTTAACATGACGTCATTTGCTTGGTTACGCGAACAAACGGTGGTCGTGGGTTTTAATATTGGTTGTAATACCTTTTATAGGAAAGATTCAAATTAATTTTATGGGTTATATCATTCAATGACATCTTCTCATAACTCAATGAAAATTTTCCGAATCGAAAAGTGAAGAATAGGCCTAATGTTAAAAGTGTTAATTGAAATAGCTGTAAAAGACGAGGTGCTAAGAAATTGACTCAATTATCTAATGGTTTGTGTATAGGTGAGGGGCGTGTCTCATCATTTCCCCAGTCCATCTTACACAATTTACTAAATTACCTCAGGGACCAGTCGGCCATTTACTTCCCAGTTTTAAGAGACAACTGATTTGGAACTTTCTTAGCTGATTCTTTCTTGGAATTCTTCTTCTAATCATTTGAACCAGTCCCTGTTTTATTGTATTCCTTCGGAGTTGTTTTCTTCAAAACAAGTCCTTAAAGATAATTTTTAAAATGTTATTATTTTGTTTCAACGAATTTCGGACAAAATATATTGTGTTTCGTTATTTTTTTCTTTTTTACAATATATATACATTTTCTTTTCCAGGATTAATATTCTCATACTATAGACCTATATTATAAAATAAATTAATTCATTATTATCGTATTAAATATTAACTACCAGTGTTGTGCTTAATCCTTTAGCGGGTAGAGATCACATTAAATAACGGACAAAATTTTATGGTATACTACTCCTTAGTTTTATTATACACAACGTTTCAACAATCTTCAGGTGCTTGTTTGCGTTTGTTTTTGTATAATTGCTCCTATGTATGACTATTAGACGAACCCTGATTACAAATTACAAATTTATAACTCGTATTTTTGTTATGGTTCTTGTTGTAGCCTTTTTTTAGGGGGATTTTATTTTTTAATTTGTCAACTTGAAAACACAAAATGAAATTGTGAAAATGAAAAACTTTTGAGTAACATTGTGAACGATTTTTAGATTGAGATCTTAGAGGTCAATTGCTGTGCTGAATCCTGACCAAGCGTATAATTATTATCATCTTTCAAAAGACTCTTCAAGGGATCTAGGCGTCTAAATTTCAGTGTTGTAGAATAAATAAATCAAGTATTAACAAAACGAACTGCAAAACCAAACCAGAAATCCAAAAAAACATTTTGGCGAAACATTGGTAGCAGCTACTGAACTTTTCACATGAGGAAGTATATCAATTATAAGTGAGTAAGTATTTCATAATGAATACCAGGTGTCTAGAAAAGTAAGCATACCCTGTCTGGCGCCACATGGAACTTATATGTCAGCACTTTCCGTACCCTTTTTAATAGTTGAAATAGGATAGATACTCTTTGTATACAATGAGATAAAAAAAAAAACAATGGAAATGACAAGATTTGAAGTTCCAGACGAACGATATTAAGGCGTTATTTATTTGTTTTTAGGTGAAGTCCGTTTAATAATCAAATTTATAATTCCATCTGATGACAACACGTGTTGAAACGTTATGTACTTTGTTATGAAAGAAGTGTGCTATACCATAATATATTCCCTTGTGTTTTTATGAGTAAATTACAAAATATAGACGTCTGTATCACTTTAATAACCTTCATAGTAATAAAACTCTATAAAGCCAGCATCATGCAAGGGGTTATAATTCGTTTATCTATGCCTTGAGCAGTTTCAAAATATTTAGATTCAAAACAAACGGAACACTGGTGAACATAGTCATTCTAAACATCTCATTCAGTTCATTGTATTTCAGACTGTCTTTACGCCCATACAATATTAATACAGAACCCTAGCGAGTTACAAACCTTCAAACCAATTTACAAACATACATCTTACAAACTTTTCATTTTCACTTTAATAACCTAATATTTTCGCCCATGTACTTTCTTTCAATTTCGTCTGTTCTTCAACACAACATCTCTCTTATTCGGGCGATCGTTTGAAGTCATTTAATGCTGGGTTGCCCGAGGGGGTAAACTTGCCCCATGTCGTGGGAGCTAATTGTGGGGTATTGTATGAAGTCAACACGGTGTGGATATATGCCAGTTGAAGATGCTCTCGTTTTAATCAACTTCTACACTGATGAAGATGCGCCTGTGTTGTTTATTTCCAAACAATCGCTGTAACTTGCAATAACAACCCCTGGCATTCACTTCCATCCTTTATCATCTCCTCTATTGTGGTGTTACAAAAGCTCCGATTCTCGTCCGTGGTTGAATATTTTGATTCCCTTCCCTATAATATAATACTACTAATTACACCGGGCTTTTAATTGAAAATGAACATCCAGTCTTTACGGATTATTAAATTTGAGATCATCGTTTGAATCTGGCATATTTTAGTTAGTTCTCCCAGGGGCCAAGGACGTAAAACTCCATTCATTTCATTTCATTTTCCCAAGGGCCAGCTTTGAAAACCATACTATCATGCGCTGCTTATACTAGAATAGGGGAACGAGGACAGTTCTCTGCGGTTAGAATTAATCGCAAGTTTTCATATAATTTGGTATCCAGCACTGTTACTAGTAAGAGATTGTGAAGAGGTTTTTCTGATCTTTTTATAAGTATCGGTTATAGTTATAACCTTTATTGGCACCATTTCGATTTCCAGTTTGCCAATATTGTGGATTGTGAATTATTCGCTTATTGTCTCAAATAGATTCTGCAAGTTCCATAGTAATTTATTTCTTTCCCGCACAGACCCAGGACATATAAACCAGAAATATAGTGTGTTTTTACTGTCATTTCACTACATGTATAAACATAATGGTCTCTTCTAAAGGACACCTGAAGGTACACCTCTAATTTCAAAGATGAAAAATAAAAAAGACGAAAATTACTAAAATAACAAATTTTTTTGGGAATAAATAGGAAGGGATAGGGCTAATATTTGTCACTCTCTAAAAAAGAAGGCGAATTTGTGAAAACAGATGTATATAGTTGGCAAGATCAAAGGATTATGAGTAAACATAAGGAATAAACAAATATATACAACAGTTTAATTGCTTTTAGGCAATGTTAACCGAATTCAACGGTTTCTTTCACATCGCCCCCTTTCTTGCATTGTCCACAATTAGAAAGTTTAAAAAGGAAAATAGAGAAGATGTGTCCATTATATCTACCTACTGGTAGTTACTAGTATGGTCATACCATTAAAAGACAGATTCATTGAATACACAATTCCAATTTTTGCTGTCAAGAAACCGGTCCTATGTGACTCGCTTCGATTGGTTGAAGTTACGTCATTAGAACAGGTCTGTGGTAGAAAACTGGTTAGATTGCAATGGCGATTAAAAATATCAGATAAAAAACGATTTGTACATCTGAATATAGGAATAAATTCAACAGCTTTGAGGATATTTCATGCTGTTAAGAACTTACCAACGACATAGTTCAAACTAATCATCCGGGGTTTTTTATACTCTACCTTATCAAATTAGTTTTCTTTCAATATTTCCCCCATCCTCGGGATATTGATCAAATTCGTCCTTGTATAATGCCCCTATTCACTAGCCTAATAGTTCAAGACTACAAAGCTTCATAGCACCAAATCCAATAGCCTAGTTGTTTTAGACTACCGAGCATTCATAGCGTCCAGTTCGCATTCATGTAGCCCACGGTCCTCCATATAAGCAATTAAAATAACCTCAATTTGCCTGTTCATTATGTGGAATTGGGGTCGACCTCTCTGACAAGCGATGACGGGGCAATGAGTTGCTATTTCCTTTTTATACAGACAAATAATTACAAGATCAAAGTCATCAGGGCTGATAACTCTCGCTTGACTTCAATCATCCTAGAGGGCGTTGTTCAATATCGCTGACATTTTATCCAATTTAGGAAATTAATTATATACTAAAACATGATATTACACCAATCTCGGGAAATTATCTTGTAAACAAATGACCGTATCTAAACCACGAATACTTTTTACTAATAACTGTACCAAATAGATAATATTAGCTATGTGGACTCTCTGAAACGAATGCCGAGATCAAATTCAATAGGGCATAATTCATATTATCTTTTCAGTTAGCGAGCTAAAAACCTCGGGCGGACTAGTTATGTTTTCAAGCCTGCCCCAACAGGTTTTCGGCCCGTACGCCTATATATAGGCCTAGCCTTTGTTGTATTTTGGGCTCGGTTGAGGCTAATAAATCGCAAAATATTCTATGTATGTATGTATTCTGTTCATAACCTTTTGGTTGAATGGTTCGTTTACACAAAGGACAATCACCAAAATCCAACCATGCAGATACAAGCTTTACAGTATTTACTGTACTAATTGATGATTCGTTCTTGTGTACAGTTCAAATCTTCCACTGCTGTAGCGTTATTTTGATATAAAAACGAGAGGGGATCATGTATCCTCTGTTTCGATTTTAAATAAAACTAAAAACACTGTGATAAAATAAGTAGCCGTATTAGAATAGCTCAATTAATACAAGATACAAACTTCTGTACTCACAAAAGCCTAAATCTAATCTGACGATTTTCTCTACCAAAATGTATATCCTTCTACCCCCCAAATCTGGATTTGGTAGGGCAATCATTATACCAGATGAGCTAAAATAAGACAGGTATTGGTGTAATTCTTACCCATGAAAAGTAAAGAGTTTATTGTTACTGTTAACCAAATCAAATGTCGAAAATTAATTGACCGCAATTAAATTTCAAATTCAATCTCAGACGTTCAATCATTTCCGGTTTGTGGTGAGCGCATGTCACGCGCCAAATTACAGACGTGCTTATATCATTGACTTGTTTCGACACCGGAAATAGTTTTTAGGAAGCCAAGATCCGAAATACGATTGGCTGCGAGTTTGCTTCTACTTCGATTACTAATCCCGAGAATAGTCTCGAACACAATTTCCGTTAATTGGCACCGGAAATGAGTTTAAATTGACGTAAAATTAAATGGAATATACGATACAAGTAAATAACCGTTTAAACGTTTCTTGTCCTCGAAAATGTATATCAAAGCTCTCTATAAAGTTTGGTAGAATGAGGAAACTAACTGAGCTAGCGTACATGCTCCTGCGACAAGGGGATGCAAAAGGGGTTTTGAAGCTATCTCAATTTCTCCCACTACAGAAAGGGATCATTAGTAAACAGTAAACAAAGTAAAACAATGGTTAATTGGTCATTGTCTTAATAAGATATCATTGTTTAGTAGACAATAGAAAATCTGTTACGATCTGTTCTGAGCTAACATTGGCAGAAACATTGACATTAAATTGTTATTTCTGATCAAATCGGGTCCAAGAGCAACATCGTAAAGGAAGATTTCAGCAGAAAGAAAATGTTCAGGTTAGTCCTCTATTTAGTGTTTTCAAGTGATACAGTTGTAGGACTTTATGCTTTAATGCCTGATAGAGTATTACTTTCTGAGTGAAATATGGCGTCTGACGATATTGTCACAGCCCTTTATGTTTTCGTCATTATTGGGGAACAAATCCCGTTAGATCAAAACTTCGAACATTGGTTCAAAATAAACAGAGGCGTTATAATTATCTGAAATTTGCAGTGACAGTAATATTTTACCTTCCTACCAAGTTTCAGATCTACGGACGACAGGAGGTAGGCTGAAAGGGCAACATGTCCGCTCTGCCCTTCTTTCCATCTTCTGTACTCATATACAGTTCTGATTTGCTAGTCTTCGATTTTGGCCACTTGTATATCAGTTATTGGTGTTGTGTGTTATTGGTCTCAACAGAGAAATAATTTCCATTTGTCCCACCGACCGTTCTTTACTAGCCCATTATGCCTACCTCAATGATTTTATCATAATAACATTGTGTATTTTAGTTACAGGACCTTGTATGTACTGTTGATGGTAATGTGTATACATCTGAAAGTACAGCAGGTGCGAGGTGTGAACACTGTTACATTTATTTCTATATGGTACGGCAATATTTACGGTAGAGCCTGTTTGGATGTCCCTCAATCCGGAGTTACTTGCGGCTGGAACATACAGTTTTTCTTTGATCCATTGGTCACTGCCTTAACTGTAAGTATATGTAGTTTTATTGCCCTAATTGGATTCCGTGGGTTCGAATCCCCGTTACTCCATGACCATTGGTTACAGTCAAGGCCACAGTGCAATCCAAGTTAAAATGAGATAAAAGGCGTCTCGGGGATTAAGAATACACAATTCAAAAACAAGATACTTATAAAGTGAGACATTTGCTCTTATTAGGATACGGCCAATCCAATCAAATCGCGGCATTAACAAACTTCCATGATACGATAGCATAGCCCAATAACATCAAGGCCTTAGACGCAGTTCGTAATAGCTTCATATCGAGAAGATACTTAAAAGATCGGACTTTGTTTCGATAACCAAGTAACATATCTACAAACAGACTTGAAGCGAATGTACTGCATGGCTTCTGTAGTTGGTGGGGGTGTCTAGTCTACGTTTTACAGTATTATAAGTAATATATTTTGTTCTGTATATTTAAGGTCTACAATGGAATTAATGTTGCCCAAGATTCTCATTATTTTGTGGTGAAAGATATATACTATAACAGAGACTTGAGCTTCAGTCCACAGTTCTGTTTATCCTTCACCGGAAGTAACCCGTCCATTACCTACCCCCAGAATCCTAACGTCACTGCTAACTTTGTGTGTACGTGTAATAAGGATTCGACGGAGGATTGCAGCTCCCGCACGTACAGCTTCAACACCAGTACCAGTACCTCAACAGTCATACCCACAACGACGATCGCACCCACAACTACCACTCAGGCGACAACCACCATGACTCCGGAACGTACGACAACAATTTTTGATACAATTTCTTCGACGGACATGATGAACAACATCGTGGAGTCCAGAGATACAGGTAAGACTCACCTAATCTCTTTTGTTCCCACAAACAGGGGAAACGAACAGAAATTACCGGGGTTTTTGAGACAGCAGTCGAGTTTTTATATTCTTTCATAAGAGACCACCTCTAGTCAGAGACCGTTTCTGAATTTTCCCCTGCGTCGTCTCTTAATACAGTTTTTTTTTCACTGTATTCGTATTTCGTAATGCATTCAAAGGAACTTGACGATTCAAATGAAAGCTCTACACAGAAGCTCGAAGAATTACACTAATAGGCCTAAGAGATGTTCGATTTCAAAATATAATCGTCAAAATGATGCTTCAGAAATTGCAAGTTACTATCTCTTCAACATTTACATTATCGCTTAGTATTGTAACAAGAAATGTATTTGATTTATTTCAGATTCCGCTTCATTGGTGCCAAGAGATCGAAAGCATCAATTCAGATTGTGGAAGAAAGACCATGTTAGTGATAATTATAACTATAAGTATAACAGTGTAGGAAGTGTCACGGACTGTGCTCTATGGTGTTCATATTATACCAACTGTACAGGGTTCACAATCTATAATAAACATTGCTGGGCCATAATCAACGAACAAGTGCGGTCCAATAGATTTTATGAAAACTGTAATACGTGGATCCGGGCATAGACACTGGTAACTTCACCTAGAATTGAGTCTGATTTGGTCCCAACTTTCAAATTTCTAATTATTGTATATAAGGAATTAATTGCATTTGTGCTGCCTTGATAATTTTGTGGATCTTACTTTCTCCACCCCCTCCTATATAAAGGAATTTGTGAAGAATTTCAATCGTTAACTCGTCAGATGTTTTATGTGTTTGTTATTTAAAAAAGAAAAAAACATGACCAGAGTATACTGTCTATCATCAATGCAAATTGATAAAGTTTCTCTATATACGAAGGTTAAAAATTTACAAATGTTTTCGTTGTTTTCAAAAAGCGCTGAAATCAACGCTATATGGTTAGAGTTCAAAATGGTGCTCAAAGTGCTACCAACCTCTTCTCCCCAGCCGCAGTGGCTCAACTATCACAGTGACCGGTTGAACCAAGTCCACGGGCCCCCACAATTAAGGGGCCCCCACACCCTCATAAAAAATGCACGAGAGCATTTGTTTGAAAAACACATCCCGGGCAGGGGCCCCAACCCACTGAAGCCCACCGACCCCCACATGTCTAGTTGAGCCATTGCCCCGCACATTTCTAACATTATCCGAAAGTTAGGTTTTTGTGACAATAGCCCCCCGAACTTCTCTTTTCATTTCCTAAAGCATGAAATTGGGTCAAATAAGGCGCTTAAACAAAATGGCGCTCAAAAGAATTTATTTGCAGCTACTTTTATATTTGTGCCAGACATAGCTACTCTCGTCTTCGATACAGGTACAGTTTTTACCATTCACTATTCTTGATTCCCCTACTGCTATTATCTTCAGATCATTCTTGTCTCCTTTTACTCTCACCCCACAGTTTGGTCCTGAAGATTTAAAATATAATAGAGTTTTTACGTCTTTCTTCTTCTGAAGTTAAGTGGCTTATCATCTTCACAATGGCAAACTATTGCAAACTCCGTCTTATACCTTGACATCATTAGGTATTTTTCCTAAAGGCCCTAAAGGCTGACAGAAAGATTGTACACCATACGGTTGCACATGTTATAGCGAATAGTCGAGGGCTCTGATTGGCTGTATTTAATAGCTGACAAATCGCAACAATTACTTATTTCCGTGAAAAAAGTCTATTGTTGTCAAGGTAAAAGACGTTGGAAAAAGCCTGTGAAGATGGTAGCGGACGGGGATTTAGTTTCAGTCATGTAGCGACCAATTTACCACCATAAATTACCCCAGGCTAATTATTACATGTCCTTTGACCAATGCAACATTGGCCACGGCATGAAATGGCCGTAGCAAATATTAGCCTCTGTGGCAATTTATCGCTGATCATTGGCCGCCGTGTCCACCTACAACTATTGGTGGCACGCTCCAGAAATTACACTAGTGAGCTCTTACAGTCACGTTTCTACAGGTCAGAACCCGTTCAGATTTTACCAATCTTAACACTCATACACTTCATATAACACAGATAAAAAAAATTGCACGTGTGGCGTTCGACAATTCTGTAGCCCCTATACCCGGCTCCCCCGCCCAATGATTCATAGAAAAACGCCCCCAGCTCCAGTGGCGGCGCCAACGTCCCGAGACTGGGGGTACAAATAGGGGGCAGACTGACTCAATGGGGGGACAACTGCTGAGGCTGAATTTAAATTTTGGCTACTCTGTGGTGGTGTCATAGTCACAAGCCTCTCATAGAGTGTCTTATAGGGTTCTCTTAAATTCTGACACGTGTTTTGGAAAAAAAAAGGTACACATTTAGATTTGTTGAAAATAAAGTGGGGGTAAAGTTGGGGGTGCAAGCATCTTTTCTAAAAAAAAAAGGGAGGGGGGGGGGGGTGTACCTGGAGCCGCCACTGCCGAGCTCTTACTAAAAATTAGGAACTCACCATTAGGACAAACTGGACAGCATTTTCCTTTCTTGAACTCGAAATCCACACATTCGCTGTTTTCACATTGATACGAAGGGCAGAGAAATCCAAACCGGGTACACACACACTGTTGGCAATCGTTTATCCAATGGAGATCACCAAGTTTGAAGCTTTCTCCTTCGTCATTCTTGCAAGGTTTCCTTCGATTCTTCCTTCGTAATTTTCTCCTAGGACCACCATTGACAAAACTTACCAAAACGAATGCGACGCATAATAAAACGAAGACCTTCATGATCAGACCTTTATTGTTCAGTGTAAAATTCCTAATTACCCAACTTCTTAACCCACGAACTTTTAAAATCAATTACAACTGCTTTAAAAGAACGTATGATCGATAAGATACATTATTCTTCGTCAAATTCATACGCAATATGTTTATGATTAGACCAACTATAATTGGACCATTGTACTTTTAAAATCAATTCCAAGTTGATTGAAATAGAATTCTACATCGTAATGCACTATGTTGTGGTACACTTAAAGCCCCTACAACACGAGCAACTTTTCTTTGAAAAGAAAAACTAGTTCAGTGATGTGAAAGTGAGTCAGGCTAATGTGCGTCCTCGGAAGTAATAAAGATAGCAATAACTCTATAGTGAGCACCACTGTAATGCGTAACAATTCACAAAGTGATGATTCCAGGAGAGGAGGGGGGTACGGTACCTGAAATGACCTCCTTGATTGGACGTCAAAGACAACTTGCTCGTGAATGGAGCTTAATGAACAATTTTTCCAGGACACAGGACAGTCATTTTCGTCATTTTCAACCATGTTGTGTCATTTTTGGAAGAAACATAGGGCCTAATGTCATTCTGTTTGATAACAACTGAAATATAACATTTATCATAAAATAGTTCAAACAATATTGACGAAATAAATAAATCAACATGTTTCGAAGAGGTTGGTTGACAATTTACGGACACGTGTTTTTAAACTACGCTGTTTCCACTGACAGAAAGAGCACTAACAGTTATAAGAGCTGAGATTGGTTGATACTTTAGCTGCATTGACCAATCAGAAAACTAGATACCTGAAGGATAAAATGATGGAATCCTGAACATGTAATTTTAGAGTACACGGACACTGATAGCATCTTTTTGCACCATTCCAATTTTCAGCCAGTCTTCTGAAAAATATTGAATTTACCTCTGTCTATGCATATATAGAGGGAGCAATGCCTTTACAATCTGAACATTAATCACAATTCTACTCTGAGACACATATAAAAGAAAATGTTCTGAAAAGCTCATTCCACCATGTGCTAGTGACAGATAGATCACGTATAAGAACCACCCAGAATATTCGAGGCACAAATCTGCAGCTACTTTGTCATTAAGATATCAACAAACTCCTTCTGTTACGAAATCTTCTGCTACAAAAATGGACATTCAGTTAATTCTATCAGGTTTGGTACCCGTCTTGTGCTTTGGTGTATCCTTCGGTACCACTCTTCCACCAGCGGACCCTTCCTGCTACTGCCTCGGAGAACCGTACTTGGAATCAGCTGAACCGTTCATGCACGACGACTGCACCTACTGTGTGAATTGTGGCGAAGTTCAACAGGCGGACTGCATTGATTCTTGTGTTAACCCAGAACCGGAAGTAGATAGTGACGGTATTTGTTGTCCGATATGTCCAGACGGTAGGTCCATTTTTTTGCTTTTTGGGATTTTCTTTTTTGCCGAAAACGAAAGGTGCTAAAATACTGTAACAGCTTGTGGACAGAATCTAATGATCATGCCCCCGTCCCCACTCTCTCTTTTTTTCACAATGTCAAGCTATTACAAACTTCGCCTTATACCTTGACTGCAATAGACACCAATCTTGTATCAGGGAGTTAGTAACAATCCAAGTAAACCATATTAACATTTTTACAGGGCCGAATTGTGAAACAGAGGGAGTAATTATACCTCACGGAGATCAGATGGTGGTCGGTGATCAACTTTGTGAATGTGAACCTCTGATATTGAGCTCATATAATCCAAAAACTTCTGTTATTTGCTATCCACTACCACCAGCGTACTAGAGTTTTACACCTTGTGATTACAATGTAAATTGTAGAAACGTTGTGTACAATAAAACCCGGGAATAGCATAATGTGTTTAATGTTTCATTGCTTCATTAAAGGGGTTCAAAAGCGGTTTCGTGTATGCTTCGAGGACACTTACAGATTCAGCTGTATGTCCGAAAAGCTCTCTTATGAGCCGCACTCCTTTGAAAGCGTAGGATTCACCCCGTAGCTTGTTCGCCCAAGAAACCATAAATGAGCAGTTGGTCTAAACAGTTGGTGGGTAATTGTGTAATTTTATATCAATCTTACTATCCCGCCTCTTTCATTTATAATCATAACACAGAGTATTGAAGTCAGTGACAACCCTAACCAAGTAGAACATATTCAAACTAGGGTTTAATATATCAAACGATATCATATATACCTCTAACAGCGCTCAGTAATCATCGTAAGCTTTCTGAGAAATCCTTCAAGCGTTTCATTCTAACTCCATCATTCAACATTGTGAATTGATACAGTTTTAAACACCTCGTTATTTTATCTTCAGAAAGATATTCTACTGGTGAAATATATTATACAATCAGTTATCATTGCATCTGTAACAAAGTACACAGTTTAAACGAAACGAAATAAAATGGACGAAATAGAGTTTTGATTTACTGAAATTATGCAAAAGTTATCATTGCTTTGGTATATGTAAAAGAAAATGGAAATGGAGTTTTACGTCCTACTTTTCTGAAATTATACCAAACTGCTTACAAATAAAAATCTGAGTAATGATCCCCTTTCATTAACTCCCTAAAACAATCGCTTTGCATATTTGATTTATTTGTTGTTTATCTTGTTAATCTCTCCAGAAGTAGGTAATTTCCTATCAAATTGATGTATTCAAATGCTGAAATCCATAGTCTCTACTTGTGACCTAGGCCAGTGCTTCTATAAGAGAGTATCTTTTATAAAACCTTATATAAATAGTTATCACAGTTTTTAACAGTAAATACAAAAGGACCACATCGCATTAAACACATTTAAAATTCTTCATACACAACCCCACATCAGATAGAACCATTTGGAACCACAAGGGTCAACACTAAGGCTCTCGAGGATAGTGTCGACACGCTAGTCAAAACATCTAAGCATTGATATTTCCGGAATACTCGTACCTAGGTAGACTGAAATAATGAGGAAAGATGACTTATTCAAGGACACCAACACTTGCAACCATCCTTTATGCTAATTGCGATATTTGCTGACCTCTAAAAACCATTCAAGGGCAGGCTAATAACCTTTTAATTTTTAGATACAAAAAACAAAATTCAAGTTTCAGTCTAAAAGACCATCACATGTTGCCTTCATTCATTCAGTTGTATCCAGATGTTCCAATTCTTACATTTAACATGTACAGTATATGTACATGTCTTATCGACCGTGTAATCAACCTACAGGAAAAAACCACATTTATTCAAATTGGGTATTTATAGCAGTTATTGGTTTTGTGGTTCAATGATCTTTCCCAACAGATTGTTTTATTTAAGGTAGAATCATCAGAAAACCTGAATATTATATATTGAGGCGGTAGTTTTATTCATGAAGTTAGGGGTCGGTCCAGTAAATAATCAGAGTTTCTATTGTGTGTTTTAATATGTTTTTCTGGTACCATCTGACTTCATGTAGGTAGATAATAATCCGAAAAAAAATGACTCATTACTGGTTATTTATTTATGCATGGTGAGTTTAAATAATGATTAAGATTAGGAATTTTAGGTTGTAACATTGCGGTTAAGCAATTGTACAAAAGCACAGGCATGTAGGGCTATTTTCGAGCACTTTCTTCTTAATTACAATTGAATTTTGGTAGAGAACGAACGAACGAACGAACGAACGAACGAACGAACGAACGAACGAACGAAATGAATGAATGAATGAATGAATGAATGAATGAATGAATGGTGAATGAGTGAATGAAAGAATGAAAAAGGCGAAGCAAACATTGAAATGAAGTCAATGTAAACAAAAATCGTAGACGTGTATTCGTCCCAAATATAGTCGGAATTTATCCCTTTTACAAATTATATTTCTAAATATTCGCTTTAGCATTGAGATTCTCATTCTGAAACCTTTGATAGCTGGAATTGAAATCAATCAGTTGCTAATTTAAATATTAAAACCACCTCTTTTAAATTCATAAATTTGAAATTGAAAGGAATGAGTTATTTCCACTTGAACGAATATATATTACTATGACATATTGGTTGTATTAAAGTCGACTTAAAGGGTATTATAACGACAGATTGCGACTAGGGAAATGGAACCCTTATCATTCACAACGGCTCATATATCATCGGATCTAATTCAATTGAATAGAATAATAAACGTTAACGCTTAATTAGCTATCAACCATTATTAAAACGAGTTATTTCCCCTTCCTAGTGAGAAAACCATACTAGTGACACCTAGTGACAAGTTTGTATAGCGGTTGTCTTTAAAACAACTCCTCGAAATCTACACCGAAACGCAATATTCAAACACCCCTGGTGACATTGTCGAGAGACGTTAAACTAAAGCTCCCAGCATGACTTGTAACGTACACTTGAGTAGTGTTAATTAGGCTATATCGCTACCCACGGGGTGTCCCTTACTAATAGCCTGGTGGGGTCAAGGATCATTTCAATACATTTAAACAACTGTCATAGTCAAATTCTTTATTTTTTGAGAATATTTGAAATGAAAGGAACTCATGGCGTGTTCTGGCCTGCTGTTTATTTCAGTGAAAACTAAATCTCCCCAAACAAATCATCGTCAACTTTTTGACGTCCCTTTGTTTCGCACGTCTAGATCCACTGGAATCTACAAATTATGATATTTTATTTGCATTTTAAAACGATTAACTGTTTTATGGCCGTGTAATAATTTCAAAAAATTTCGTTTCAGTTTTTATAGATTATTACTTTTTAGTGTAGCCTATATGGGATCTCCCACGGTGTTTTTTAACTACTAATTCAGATGCTGAGACGTTTTTTTCGCTCCATGGCAATAAAATGGTATACATTTAAAATAAATGTTTTCTAAAAGATTATTGATGATGATATATCGCGCATTACAAATTGTGAGTAAACAATAGCCACCAACAGGCTCTTCAAATTGGAACTGATCTTATGTTAAGGTTTTACAAGTTCTTCTTGATGCAGAGTATCGAGCACGTGACTTCGAGACCTTCTTTGATTGATCCTAAACGAATGCTTGAAGGAGTAATTGAAGTAACGCGTGGCAAGACGAGACTTTAATATCGTGTGCATACCACGTGGCACGTTTTCCCGCCATTAAATGTAAATAACAATTTAGTGACATGTATTGAAGATATATTCTACATGAAAATAATGCCACGAGACTCAATATAACCATTCCGAACTTTTAGGAACTGGTCATTCAAAGCGTATCGCTTCTCTAGTTTTCAACTATATAAACAATAGTTTTTTTGATGATCAAGGATTCTACAACGCATAAACGACGTGTCTACGGAATTTGTGGTCAAATCTTCAGACTTATCTAAATATCATGAATAATGTGTATTTTACCGACCATTTTTGAAGAATAAATTTGAATAAATTGTCATTGAAACATTTTATCGATTGGTTTCTCAATAAACCCCGACTTTTCAGCAATTTACAATGCCGTCAAAAGAGAAGATAATTTAGGCGCGTAAGTCAAGGTGTAAGTTTACTAATTTAAACGACTATAATTATTTACAGTAAACTATGAGCTGAATTAGGCCTACATCCGCCAGTCAATTAATGATAAAGTGTAATATGTTGAAACGTTACGTATGTTCAAATTCAGCCATAAAGTTTTATACCATGAAAATGTGTCAAGTTATTCACCAACAATTTAATTAGTCGTCCAGTAGCTCGAATAGTTCAAATATGAACTGATTTGAATAGATTAGAGATCACTGTTGAGAAAAATAAGGCAGTTTGTGTAACTTTGTGATCTTTTGAAACCTAATTTTAAGTTATTAAATCTCAAGCCGTACGACTATGAATATAAAATGATATTATAAATACTGTATATTATATCTAACTGGCGTTATACAACTCGTTGATTTTTAACCAACAAAACATCGTCAATAGAAATTTTGACACCTGAAAAGTCAGGGTAAGTTGACTAAGTGTGATTTACTCATCATTAATTTCTCTCATAGAAACGCGTTAATCGAGTGTAAAATTAACTTAACCAGTCTTTAGAAAGAGCAAATTGAGAAAAGTACGAGGGCTGGCTATGTAGGGTTATTGGGTAAAGTTATTAATACGATATTGATAGGTCAGACCCCATGTTGTATCAGGTCCCTTCCTGTCTCCCTCATTGACAGGTGTTTAAAGCTATACATCACCCTCCTTTACTCTTTTAACCCCATAATCCTCACCCTTAATACACCCTAATTTGCTATCGATTGTTGAAATTTAAAAAATAAACGAAGCAACTTAATTCTAAGACTAAAACCACAGTTGACAGCTAAGTGTCAATTTCCATTCCACTGTTGAAATCATTTTGTCGAATAAATTGTAAAGAAAGCAGATTTTCGTTGAACAATATGAGGTCACATTGTCACAAATCAGAAATTAATTTGTCAAGACGATAGCCTCGTACCTAATACCCTGGTGAAGATTTGACATCTGTATTGGTAAAGACATTGAAATAATATAATATATTGCCTTAAGAAGGAAATGCCAAGCTTGATTTTTTAATCCAAGATAGATAATTAATTTACCCTGATCTCTGGGATTTAATGACAATTTAATAACTAAGATTCTGTGGTCAACATTTTTCTTTTTTTTACACACCACTTAACAACTTTATATTACAAAATCTATCCATTCTCAGAACGGTTGTCAGAACAGAACGAATAATTTTGTGTAATGTACACAGGCATGCGTTCTGAGATCAGGTTTGTCTAGTATCATCTTGCTTGTATCCACCTTCAAGGGAGTCAAAGGAGATTTTCTTGCTTCTGTTCTAACGATTGATATTTGCGATTGTAACTAACGTCAAAATCTGGTCAACTCATCTGAATAACAGTAACCACAGACGCAGACAGACTGGTGCTAATACTATGACTGCTCCTTAGAAGTATGCAAGGATATCAAGTAATCACAAAAACAAAAGCGCCATTTTATTTTAATCTTTAATTTTCAATAATAGAATAATTTGTTACATTTTCAGGGAGATCGTAATACAGCAACCAGGTATCATTGTCACCATACCAAGGTACCCAATCACCTATTGCTTAAAACTTGGTGGTAGTTCATTTCTCGGTATCACAAAGATGATGTGATTTATTGAAAGAATATTGTTACTTAAAACTGACCACGAAAACTGTGATTTTGCAGGCACTGTGATTTCGTATACCTGTGCGAAATCTCGGTCCAGTTCATTAATTGCCAAAACAATCATAACACTAATAGTCTAAAGGTTTGACTGTAACAGAAATTGGTGTCAAAATGTTTCAGCACCCTTGATGACTGTCTTGACAATTTGAAAAAGAACTATGGCAGTGGTTCAATTTATGAACATCCATAGACACATGCCAATTAGCCTTAAGTTAGTACTTTTGATAACTGTCTTAGAAATTTGAAACAGCACTATCGCTTTAGTATATCAAGTCTTTTCACCTTAGCACTGAGTTTAATGTATAGTATACAAGGAGACATGACCATTAGCACTAAGTTAGTCACATTCGTTCCTTTAATTCGGTGGTTCCCATCCTTTTTCAGCCCTCACACCCCCAGAGCAATCATTTAATATTCACACCCCAAATTGTATAACTCTTTTTTCGAGCTATTCTTGATACTCTCAATGTTCCAAACGGACTAAATTGGCTCTGGGGTAGTGACTGTTACACGTCCATCGACTGAAAAACATGCATCAGAAGTCCTGAATATAGATCCCCAAAGATAAATTCTTCTCCTACGAGAGTTGGCCACATCCCTGACCTCCAGTTCTACACCCCCAGGTTATAAAAGCACCCCAGGGTGGGAACTAGGGCTGTAATTGAAAATATCATCCGCCATTGCATCATCATCAGAGTTATATAAATATCAAGTGTTCGCATCTTCGCTTCAACTTTCAATGAATATTGCTTCGTTAATTTCAATGAAAATTACCAGACATTAGTATCAAAAGTGATCTTAAAAGAATAAATGCAAAATATTGTTCCAAAATGTCACAAAGCACCAAATTAAAATAAATATTTTAACAATAACACGGAGGATTTGTTAGTAAAGTCACACCATCGGTCGACATGGATTCGTCTTTTCATATTGCTGATGTTGACTTCGTATTGCGATTCTGTTCACGTGCACTGGTATAGGTACGACTATTTTAGGCTTATTGGCGCCGTCGTGGCTGTTTCTGGTATGAGCTAACCCGGCCTTGACCCTCTTCCATTTAGCTCTCCTGTTTTGAAACCAAATTTTCACTTGCACTTCACTGAGTTTGAGGACATGAGCTATATGAGATCGTTCCGTTAAAGATAAATATTTTTTACTGTGGAATTCCTTTTCCAATTCTAATAATTGTTCACTGGTGAATGCTGTGCGGCGCCTCCTCGATTTTCCTGATCCGTTTGACGTCATTTCCTGATCGAAACCCTGATCCTCTGATACTGAGTCATTTAAATCGGGGCTTTCACTTCCGGTTTCCCTGTCTGTGGTTCGGTCATCTTGATGTTGTTTTGTTTGAGTCGGAGATCCTGCAATTAGAAAAAAAGCTCACATAACTATTGTGAAATAACAATGTTTCGTTTAGTTTCTTTCCAGCAGTAAAACAATATCAATATAAGAAATCACCCTGTATAATATAATATATATATATATAATTGCACTATTTCAACTTCAAAAATATATTTTTGATATTAGCTATTGGTGAACTTTCTGAAAGACCTGGAATAAAATCTATTCATAAATCTATCGTAAATGGATACAGACAAATAGCGATGCCGATAATTTTGAGCACGGACCAGATGGTAGAAAATATACTCGTGAACCCAAGTTTATTATTTTTCTTTCTTTCTTTCCTTAAGATATACAGTTACTTCTTATTATTGGAAAAGTTTATATTTTTTCTTTATGTTTGTTTGCGGCAGTTAGTCAGACCTTCAGCTTTATTAAATTTAAATTTATTAAATCTCACTCTTGCATTCTGAATCCCATCCTAGAAATTCCATTGGACCATTTCATAAACAATCTCGCATGTCGTTGCTTTAAAGAACATGGTAAAAATCAATCATTCTAATCAACCTTGGATATCGATCTATTGATTTGATAAACAGTAGATGAATAATTTAACAATAATCCAATGAATAATGATAAACACACCAGACGAATATGAGAGTTTATCATATTATAGGATCATAATGGGATTTATCTTATTATAATCTAATGCTCTTTTATAATTCATTAATGATTATTGTGGCTACTTTAGACAATTAGTCAAACCCGAGCTATTTAAAGGGACACTATGCAATAAAAATCAGTATAAGCAAGACGATACCGTTAATCAACATCTCGTCCAAAGTATGGCAAAATCAAGAGTAAAAGTTGCATAATAGTGGACTCCAAAGCGAGGTACCATCAGGTGTTTAGCACAGAGAAAGCATGCTTCTACTTCCCTAGCTACAACCGGCACTGTTATATAGGCCAATATATTTTGCATTCAGCTATTATAATGGACACCTAGATTTTGGCCTACAGGTTCCATTTGTTTGAGCATCTAACAAACTAAAAAGAGACTACCCCATTAATATAGTCTCAAACGATCGATGTTGTACGGCCGACACAAAAAGGACAACGGTTTGTTTACTTACGATGTGAAAGAGAAGTTCTGAATGGACGAATTTTTTAGATAATATTTTGATGTTTGTAATGTAAAATCATGACAAAGTAAAACTGTGTTTACCGACATATGCTTCGCACAAAACAGCTCAAACATTTGATAAAAACCTTTGACCAATGAAATTTGAAATATTTAGAAGAATGAAAGTGAGGTTTTGATATCATTAAGGCGAATTACAAATCTTACATTTTTGGTGGACAAAAAAACAAAACAATGAAGAATTAATTTACCTGCAAATTATGAAATTATGAAAATGTTGGACAATGTAAACAATTCAAAGTTCCATCTTAACTCAGGATCTAGCTTTGAAGCATATTATTTTCCCTAATTGATTTGACAAGGCCATAACCTACCCATGTTTTCCTGATCATAAAATACTTTCTAAATTACGAAAGATGCACAAACATAAGAGATGAAGGACTTAAAGTTGTATGTGTACAGTAAATGGATTTTTTTTTATTCAATACTAGAAATTTTCCGCATTACAATTCACGTTAAACGCATTAGATATTTCTAGTGATAATTCAGCGAAACAATCCAATCAAGCCTAAAGCTCAGAAGAAGTTAACAATTGGCTATAGTTTTATCAATAACATGAAAAGTATATCAATGAATACTCTAAATATATAATTTATAACGCTTGGAGACCATTCAAATCGTTAGTAACATCAATAATTGCTCATCGGTTTGAAAAAATGTCAGAGGCTTAAAAGACAATGGTCACTTGCTGTTTGTGGAAGAATATTTAATAGAGATATTATTTCAAACTCTTTCATTTGGCTGTTTGTTGGCATGATGTATTTTACCCCCCGCGACAGTGAATTATAATATGTATGATACAGTTTGTGAAAAAGTACAAATGATATTACATTTATAGATAATTGGTGTTTTATATTGTGAGATTTCCTACTAGATACCAATATAACAATTAAATATAGTCTATTAATTCTTTTATTTCAAGTTATTATCATTATAATCATTATATTTCGTTTTGTATAAACTATTACTAATTTTGTACGCAGGCAACTAACGATATTTCAAAAGTGTTAAATCACATTCCGAAAAAAGCGTAATGAAATATGCAACGAAATTTTTGTCAAAGCATTAAAGTATACTACGTCTTAGAATTAACATAAAATTTAAGTTCTCAAGAATGATCAATATGAGTATATATTCATCAGTTAACTTATCTGGTGTCATAAACTTAGAATAGAATCCCTGTACAATGTATTTGCATTTTTATTAAATTTTTGGGATTTATCTGATTATAGAAGGATCCTGTTATGTTATTTATGACACCAGGTATATCTACTGATGAATATATACTCTTTTTGGCCAAGTTTAAAATTTTAAAATCACATGTTTATTCTAAGAAGTAGTATCCCTTTAAACTTTTTACTAACAGAATTTTCATAAAAAAAATATTTTCGGATGTCTTATATGGTTAAAGTTTATAGGCCTACGGTGCTCTGGTGATGCGTAAAACGAGTGAGCACTTTGATGAGTAAATCGATGAAAATTCAGAAAAAATTGATAATGAATTCTATATTCGTTGTCGTTTTGTTTGAATTGAATTTTTTACTGCAGCCGTGACATGCAGAGAATACATTAAAGAGTTATAATTAGAAATATTTACATATACAATTACAGAATACAATTGCATATAAATAATATAAAATAAAATGAACTTTCTGCACCTCATGAGACTAATGCAATGCCATGCAGTGTAATATGAGGGAAATTTTTTAAGATAAAAGGTATAAAATATGCGTCTGTGTGGTCGACTTCTCTCACACCCCGGTCATTACACCGTGAATCTAATATTCAACATGTCAATTAATTTTGAAATAATAGAGGATCTGATTCGCTTGGTCTATTCTCTCTCATAAAATCATCTGAATGAAACCAATATAACCCTTCATTAATTTATAACACACGTCAAATACAACCGGATACATTTATTACAACAGTTCTAAAACTTGGTCAACCATTTTACGAAGTTTTTATTTCTAAAAAATCATCTGACCACGAGTATTTAAAAATTAGATTTGAATAAAGACATCATTAATTGTCAAACTATTAATATCTCGTCAATCAGTCAAGTTGATAATAATAGAAATATTTACTCTATTTCTCCCTTCTCATACCTCCCTTTCAAACTATTAATCACTTCTTGAGAAATAAATTCACTTTCAACAACCTGTGCCTCTATTATTTTCCACTTGCGTGCAATTGACGTGGACGGTTAGTTTACAGCCTTCCATGTCCCATTATTTTCCACTCGCATGCAATTGACATCGCAGACGGATATTTTTAATTTTCTACGATTGTTATCATAACGTCAGATTCCACAAAAGATTTGAGTGGCACTAACACGGAACAAAACGACTTTTAAGTAGTTTGACTCTTCAATGTGTGAAGGTTGAAAATTAACCATCACTCTTCAATACTGGGAAATCAGAAAAGGTCTTGTTGACGTCATAGAGTTTGAAATCTTAAAATGATAGCATTACGAATCGATCTCTTTCTTTGTTGGTTCAAATGCTGGTATTGTTTTTTTTGTCATAATATGCACAATACGACATTAAATAATATTTTCTCTTTTACGTGTGGGGGTTTTAAAAGATATTTCAAGCTCATGCCTCAATTAGTTTTTTCTGCCTTTTCTCTTTTGTGTAATTTGCCACTTTTCAAATAATTATATGCCAATTTCTACCCATATTTTCTATTTTTGTATATTCCTCCTTTGTTTGATATTTTATTTCAAATGTTTATAGGCCAATTTCTACCCATTATATCTATTTTTGTATATGCCAATTTTCCTTCGACAATATTTCTATTTTGTATATGCCCACTTTCTCCCGCCATATTTTCTATTTTTGTATATTCCTCCTTTGTTTGATATTTTATTTCAACTGTGTATATGCCAACTTTCTCCCGCCATTTATTTCGATTTTTGTATATATGCCAACTTTCCTTCGACATTTTTTCCTATTTTTGTATATGCCAACTCTCTCCTCTCTCCTTTTCAGCTTTCTGTTTGTACTTCTTTGGTTAGGTTCAACTTGCTCTTTGCTTATGGTGACATATTTCTATATTTCTGTAATCGATTTTAAAATCCGAATTAAATCTTATTAAAACTAATAGTGTATTTCTCTCTTAAATATTAGCAGTTTGCAAAACATATGTAGACAACATAATGAAAGATTAGGCGTTGATAAAACACGTGTTATGTAATATCTATTCAAATACACGACAGAAAATCAATAGTATAAATATATCAAGTCAAAATCAATACCAAGGTTCACTGAGATCGGCTAATTATGATATCTATCACTTAATAAAGCTCAAGAAACCAATAGATTATGTCAAAATTTTCATAATATTGTATCAAAATATTTCATGTATTGACTTTGTGCCAAAATTGAAGCATAAAATTGTTTAAAATTAAATAACAGTTTGAATTTAAATAAATATTATTATGTTCTACGTTCAAAAGTGTCAATAACTCTCGGATTGACGTGAAATTTGATTCATATACAGAGTTCAGAGATCTGTTAAAACATGCTGGTACTGTTATTAGTTATGCTTAATTTAATTCTAATACCCTTTCTGATTGTTATAGCCCTTCAAAATTAAAATAAGCTCATAATAATTCAATCTAATGTCTGTATGGAAAGAGAGGTTTTACGTGTATCAATATTAAAATCTATAAACGACCTACAGCACAGTAAACTTTACAATGAGAATTAAGCGCAGACTTTTAGAAATTATCTCCGAAAAGACCCTTAGCTTTATTCTTTGCCTGTTTAACGTGAATTCAAGAAATATGAATTCCGATTTGATACGTCTATAGCTTAATAATCATTGTCATATAAAGATAAAAAAAATAATTGTTTTAGTTTCCATATGATACTATATCAAAATCTATTTTCTTATCTTTTATATTGAATGTTGCTGTGAGTTACAAACTTTGAATGCTTCTGTCACAGGAAGTTCACCTCGAATAACGTTGATAATTACTCTAAACTACAGCTTGCTGTTGATATTATAGAGGTTAACGCCCATGGCGAAACTAGCCAAAATTTGGGCTCATTTGACTAAATTATTTTGTGTCCATTTGGTCCTGTATAAATGGAAACATAAACAATAGGACCAAGTTATACAACGTTCTTACTTCTAGGCCTAGGTTATTGTACAACAATGTTTTATTTCTTAAGGAATCTAACTTTAAAACATTTGTACGATATTGTTTGTACAACAAACGTTTGATCTTCAAAAATTGTGTATTTTAATGAAACTATTAAAGCGAAAAAAATATATTTGTTAGTAAAAAAAGGAAATGAGAAAAAATAAATAAAATGTCTTTCAGAGATAATTCAAGCAAACTGTGGAGCACATTAAAATAATTTTTTGCCCAATTTTATGGTCTGATAGTTCTTGATTTTAGATTATTGATATACAACTATTTCATTTTTTATCAACTCATCCATTATGACAATGTAAATTGTGGAAACTATGCGTTGTTTGGTTATAAAAATAAGAAATAGTAGACCTAATGAATAAGGCATGGCTTACATTTTTTTTCTAACTAACCGTAGGTTTCACTTGCCCATACGCAAAGAAATGCGGCGAAATACGTACAGGTGCGTACGTTATAAGCTTTCAATATGAGCATGTGAAACGTTGCGTTGAAAATTGTGTATACGTACTTCTCTAGGTAAATCTTTTCATATATGCATGTTTATGTCTAATGAAGATTGTAATACATTTTACAAATAACCTTACAAGCTGTAATTAATATTTTAAAAATATTCCTTATGAAAACACCCTACCATATTAATGTCATTTACATGTAATATAAGTTGATTTTAAATGTGAATTATATCATTATTGTTTGAATAACACTGTGTTATAACCTTGATAAGGAAATACGAATAGGAAAAAACCTTTAGAATTGAGAAAATTGCTTTAAATATCTAAATGACTTAAAAACCTGAATAAATGAATGAATGGCTAAATGTCAAACGATAGTTGATTCAAGTGTAAAACGAATTAAGAGAAAAAATATAAAAATATTTAATAATGTCTTGTTTTAGTAATAGACATGATATATTCACATTCTGTCGTGATATTTTACATTATTTCTTAAAGGAATACTACCTCTTAGATTGGACATAAAATTTAAAGCCTATATACATGTACTAGTGTATATATTTATCAGTTAGACTTACCAGGTGTCATGACTGAAGAATAGAATCTCTATATAACACGATATATTCATTAAACTAAATAATTATTGAAACACTCTTCTAAGCATATTTCAAAATTACTCATGAATTATTACTTAGTTTTATGGTTTCTTTTGATTATTGAGGGATTCTGTCGTATAGTTTTGACACGGTAAGTCAAGTCACAAACAAAAACTTGGCAAAATTTAATTTTTTATTCATCCTAAGAGGTAGTATATCTTTAATGTTGATTTTTTAACTTGATGTTGTTTATAATTCCCATTTTAACCTATTCAATGTCGAGTTATTTTAAAAGATGTCTTTATCACTTAAAGGGTTATTCAATTTGAGAAATATGCATTATGACTTTATCATTGTGACAACATTAAAGAAAATTTAACAAAGACTAACGTACACTGTCGATCAATGGTACAAATCTTGAAATATTTACTTATATATTTTAATATAAAACTTAATGCAATTGTTTAAAAAAATAGGCTATTATTAAATTATTAAATCTAGAGTGCTTATATTAATAATGCATTTAATTTTATATACAAGTCATGTTTCGTTTATCCCTTTTAAGAAAATACTATATAATATGTGCAGTTAGATCCATTAAAATTTAATTCAATTCTGTGTAAGTAATATCAATACATATTCATGTTTATTCAAAATATCAAAGATGTATTCAGGATAAATACGTGAACAATCATTATAGTTATAAAGGTTTTTTTTTATTTGGTAATATGCTTTTATATCCATAGTCTAGTGCCCTATTGTTTAAAATAAGTCGAACCTATATTTAAATATGTATAAGTTGGTACCTAATTAGGCATCCCAAAAGTCAAATTTAATAAATAAACAAAAGGAGAGAAAACTGATTAATTGGAGATGTAACCAATTCATATGCAAATGGGGGGAAGGGAGAGGGGGGGGGGGGCTATTTTAGGTTGTATAACTGCCAGGAGTCTATAACCAACAATCAATTTAGCCAAGTCAGTGTCAAAGTTTTCGTATTAAAACACAATGAAGGGGGCCAAGCTTTATAGAATTTGTCATAAAAGAATGACTAATCACTTATAGCCACTTGTCAAAATGCTAATCTGCCCAATTCATCGATGAAATATGTCTACTATCTTTCAACTAAGAATGAATTAGTCAAATTGCAGTCGACAATTTTCCAGGTTTTGCATTAAATAATTATATGATTTATCTGATTTCAATAAGTGCAATTCGTGTTCCTTTGATCAATGATTGAAACCATTGGCAGCTATAAAAATATCAAATAAAGAAAGCCTACCTGTATATAATCGATTAAAGTTCAAATTCAGTTGCAGAATAGCATCAAGTGTGCCGGAAGTGGAAGCATGCCCTCATTCTCTAGCAGTGGCTCAGTGAGTTAGATGCTTTACTCGCTAGCCCGAATGTTCAGTCCTGGCATATGCCGAGATAATACTTTTGGGTTTCTAACCCTGATTTCCCCTTTCAGTTATGCAGGTTGGGAGGGGATGACATGGAGAAAGAGTCTTATTCTGTCGGATGGGGCAATAAACCGAGGCCTATTGTGCTACAGACTGTGCACTTTAACGCGCCTTCGACAGTTGGAAATCGAAAAAGAACAATCTACGTGACAATCTAGTCTGGGTGATTGTTGAGGTCGAGTCTAGGTGATTGTTGAGGTCTAGTCTAGGTGATTGTTGAGGTCTAGTCTAGGTGATTTTTGAGGTCTAGTCTAGGTGAATGTTGCGGTCTAGTCTAGTTGAATGTTAGGGTCCAGTCTAGGTGTTTGTTGAGGTTCAGTCTAGGGGAATGTTTGGGTCCAGTCTAGTTGATTGTTGAGGTTCAGTCTAGATGATTGTTGAGGTCAAGTTTAGGTGATTGATGAGGTCTGGTAAAGGTGATTGTTGAGGTCAAGTTTAGGTGATTGTTGAGGTTCATTCTAGATGATTGTTGAGGTCAAGTCTAGATGAATGTTGAGGTCCAGTCAAGGTGATTGTTGAGGTTCAGTCTAGATGATTGTTGAGGTCAAGTCTAGGTGATTGTTGATGTTCAGTCTATGTGATTGTTGAGGTCAAGTCTAGGTGATTGTTGAGGTTCAGTCTAGGTGATTTGCTCCTTCTGTGAGTACCTTTGATATCCTTATGCTCAAACATTAGACCACATTGAAATCAAATTTGTACCCTTATTTATTTCTTAGTTCTCAACTTAAATGCGCACATGTAAATTTGTAGATGTAAAAACAACAAACAAACAACTAGAAAAAATGTCAAAAAAAATCAATTTACTATTTGATCGCTTTTCAGCAAAAATAGAAAATTATTTAAACAATACGTAAGCTTAAATTGTTGATTTGATAAACAAATTGAAATCCTCAGAAGTCAGTCAGTGTCTTGGTGAACTGTCTCTGAACTGTAAATATTTTTATTTATATTATGTGCAATGATCAGTCAGACATTAATGGGCGAGGGCTAATTGCATAATTGAATGTGAATTATAGATTATATGCAATAAAACACTTACATAGATTTCAATCGAAACTGTGCAGTCATTAAATAGATCTACCACCCTTTTACCTATAATCTTTTTAATTCTTTATCTTAATTTTAATGTTTGCATTATGCAGTGTATGGCACGACAAGGAATTACGAGTTATATTTAAATAGTTTAGCATGATTTTAATCAGGTTTTAATTGTATTCATAAGAACCTGGTCGATTTAAACCTATCCCAAACAAGGCTGATAATATCAGTATTAGAAACTAATAATAATGGCAAAATTGACTCATATAGGGTGTGATGGAAATCCATACAAGCAAGACAATTCTGTAAATAAATATCTAGTCAAAATCATGGCAAAATCGAGAGCAATAATTGTATAGTCGTGGACTCCTCCAAAGAGAAATCCATCAGATGTTTCGAAAAGAGTAAGCATGGTCTGTATGGGTCGTATCTGTATTCGTTTGCAGATAGTTACAAATAGTAACATACTAATCGATATGGTACTATAATTAATCCACAAAGTCCCAAACAGCGCCGCAGTCTCATTTAATTCCATGTCTAACATTGGTAATGACAGATTCTAGAGGCGGAGTGATATTTGTGATAAGCTGTATCAACTTTCCTGTAGATACGGTAATAACGTAGTTCGGATGTAGTTATAACTATCAGCTAAACTTTCGTCAAAAATCACGGCTCCAATCCAAGCCTTCAGTCTCTCTGGTGAGAGTTAAGTGTCATTTTAATCCAAGTAATATATAACAGTAGTAATATATATATATGGATAAAGATAAAGAGACCTCTCTTTTACTTTCACTTGTAATTTAATGAGGCAAAGTTTAGTACACGTGTATATACAATGTTTCTTCAGGCCTACAAATAATATAGTAATATACAGGTGTAATATTATAAAGTTTGGTATAAAGATATCCTGATGAGTGATTTATTAAATATCTTTACTACTGGATAGTGTTAAATTTCTTACCTTATTTAATAATAAACATAACATCAAAGGAAATTATAATAACATGCCTAGACGATCAACTTGTTAGCAAGTGGCGTCGTTTTCTATACATTTGATGTGGATTTGCATAATTATTTTTGGCAAGTTTGAGTTTGAGGTGACATGTGAAGGTTTTATTTGTTCCCTTTCACCCCCTCCCCCATCTTCACAATGTCAAGCCATTCTCCTTATACCTTGACTGCAATAATCACCTTTTTGTATCATGGAAGTTTGTCAATGAAACGATTTCATTGGATCATACGTTAGCGAATGCAGCCAATTAGAGGTCTAGATGTTTACAGCCTTTCTGTCGAGGAATCTGATTGGTTATATTCTCAAATCAAATAAATTAAATTGCTGCATTATGTGATACAAAAGGGTGCCTATTACAATCAAGGTGAAAGATGAAGTTTGTAGTAGCTTGACATTATGAAGATGAAGTTTGTAATAGCTTGACATTGTGAAGATAAAGTTTGTAATAGCTTGACATTGTGAAGATAAAGTTTGTAATAGCTTGACATTGTGAAGATGAAGTTCGTAGTAGCTTGACATTGTGAAGATGAAGTTTGTAATAGCTTGACATTGTGAAGATGAAGTTTGTAATAGCTTGACATTGTGAAGATGAAGTTTGTAATAGCTTGATATTTTGAAGATGCCTTCCCTTCTATAGAAATATCTATATTATTGATGTCTGTCGAGTTCCAGATTTCTATTTCCTATTGGTTCATTTTAGTGGTTTTTCTCAATGATAAAGCTATTTTTTGTAAATGGAAAGTAGATGTTGCCCCATATGATGTTTCACACGGGAAATGTTTTTTTTCTTACCAAATTTGGTATCAAAATGGTTCCATTAACAGGCATTAAATTGGAGGAGGGTTCTCAGAATGCAGGAGAGTTTATATTAAACTTAAGTCCACGAGGGATGTGCCCCCACCAATATAAGTCCTCGGGCCCTCACTAATATAGTTGAGCCAGTGGTTGCACATCCAAAACATCATTATAATGATAAATTAGTGAACAGAGTTCTTTGATTTCTTCCATTTTGATATGCATTCTGTTTAAATAGATATTTCACGAGAATATATATAAAGACTAAACTTGCTACTCAATCTATCCAGAATTTTATTTAACTTGCTATCTGTGAAAGAAATGTACAAATTAATACATGTATTAATATTTTTAAACAAAATAAGAAATTTAAAATTCTCTTCATAAACATTATCAGTTTGATTATAGAAATCATATTCAAATAAATTTATTTCTTAAATCTAATGTTTATAGGTGTATAAGTACTCATGTACCGATATACTTTTCACATCATTTTTTTATAAATTTATTTTAACCAAACAGAATAATATCAAGAGATTAAATGAAACATAAAGATTTAAGAATAATCCCAAATCTTTCATAAAATAAAACAAATATGACATTAAATTTAGAGAAATCTTAATTTTACTATTTTGTCACATTTTTCCCTTTTGTTCCAGGCACAGTAGATTTATACGGAAGTTATCAACGTATCTTATTAAAATCTTAAAACATCTTTCATTATTTTTTGTACTAAACCACAAACCATTACATTCTTGTGTTAATGAAGATTTGATTAAAACAATGAATTATTTTCAGCTAAAACCCATGTTTATATCAGCTATTCCTTTATACTAAAACCTATATAAATATTAATATGTAGACTTTTTAATAATTGCTGTTATTTCCCACATCTATATAATGCCTATTTATGCCTGGCATAAAGAAGGGTTTTTCATGTCAAACGATTTACTTCTCTTTATACTATAGTTCATCTCTTCTACAATGTAAGGGCTCGTTCAATCTAAAAGGGGAAGTTTGGTAGCTTTTTAAAAAAGGAATTAATATTCAGTCCTGACCTCCGATGGTCAATATTATTTCAAATTTTAGCAATACTGTGAAATGAATTTTGGTTTACACAATAATGTCAAAGGAGGGAATAAACTTTATAAGTTATCAGTCTAATTTTCAGATGTGTTCACCATAACATTCAGTTACAACTTTACTTTGAGAATATGATCTGAATACATGTATAACTGTGACTATATGTAAAATATACCAAGTGAATTTGTGAATAATTCCACTTTGAGTTCACTATCACTATCATATATTATAACAATTGCTGTTTCTTATTATTCTATTTTATCTGTATTTTCATGAAGCTGTTATATTTCTTGATTTTGAATATTTTTCTGTTTTATTTCTATCTTAGTGACGTCTGTCACAGATTTATAAACTCAGTAGAAGTATTCATACAATTTATATCGCTATTTTTAGTCATACACGAGGACACATGATATGAAATTGAAGACACTTTTTCAAAGGGCTGAATTCAAGATGGTAAGTTGGTGAAATTAAGACGTCAATTTTATAACAGTTCTTATACAACTTATTATGTTTTAAAAGAAACGAAGAGGTCCAATAGAAAAACCAAAGCAAATATATTTCTTGTTATTTCTTCATAAATTCACAAATAATTATTTGGAGTAAAAAAAAGCCTTTTGGAAATACATGTATGAATCAAATCAGGCATGAAGTATTATACATTTATATGTATACTAGGATAGATTGTACAAAATCTTTGCATTTCTAAAAGAGGGATTATCAAAATGTATCACATTGTACTATTGAAGGTTTCAAACTATGCATATAGTTATACATGTATATTATAAAGCTATAGAATACTTGTATAAAATTTAGAAATTTTAATAAGAGAGAAAATTAAACTTATCAATATACATATTTTACTGTGAAATATAATAACCCGTGTGTATAGTTAGATACATATTATGCATCTAATTTCTAAGCAAGGGATTGGACACCTAAAACAAAATGCATCAATTAAAACTAAGGAGTTGACAAACTTAACAAAATTTCCCCAAAAATTTAAAACCCCAAAATTAGAATAATTACCTCGAGATCTGTCAGGAACATCGTCATCACCATCTTCACTATTTACAGGACTCACAGACAAACTTCTTTCAGGATTTAAAGCACCCGGTTTAGGAATTATTCCAGATATACTACCGTCTTTGATTCCATGATTAGAAAACCCGGAGTTGAATAGATAATCGGCACCAGGATGAGGTGGAAGCAGGTGCGCTTGTGCGAACATCGGATGAGTCAAAGGCATCGCCCGGGGATCTGGCATTCCACCTTGAGGAAGCGATGAGGGCGGCATAAACATGTACCCCGGATAATAAAACGGGGGATGCAGTCTTGGTTGGGGTGCCATCAAGGCATCGATAGAAAACGAACTGTACATCGGACGATGCATGGTTCCTAATTCACGTCCACACAATCGAGAATTCTTTACTAATTTAACAGTATATAGTCCAGCTTGTGTATCCAACCGGGTTCTTAATTACGTATTCCATTGCATATTAATAACATATCGTGTTCAAATTCCAATTAATTCAGCTTAATTAATATTCAATAATTAACACAAATTAGCATTATATAAAAAAACATCCAAATAGACCAGTAAATTTCAGTACTGGCTCCGTACAAATTAAAACATATAAAACTCGATGACGTTATGGTGAAAAGTCCTTCGTTTCTTTTAAGATTAAAAATCTCGATCCGTGAATTGAAGTTTTGTTGGTATTTCCTGTAAAAAACGTTTAACTGTCGTATTAAGAATGTGTATAGAGTAGTTATATGAATTGTTTAGCTGTAAAGAGATATAATCAAGTTAGGTATAACTCGAGAGGTGTAACCCTTCGTCTCATCAATCATATTATCACCATCCTTACCCTGGCCATTATCATACATCACGTGATCGACATTCTCGTGTCTTATTGGCTAGTAGCTGGTTGGTCACTCCCATCAATATGAATATTGACAGGTTTAATTGTCGTGCTGGAGAATCAGTCATTGGCTATCCGAATACACTCAGCTAACTGATTAATCAATCCGTACTTAATTATGATGAATAACATTAAAATGATGATGTTAAATTTGCGGTGACATATTTCGTTTAGTTTTCACAACGGGGAACGAAGTATTCATCAAAATCTGGAGTAGAGTCTGTATGAATAGGGATAAATGCATAAATTTATATGAGTCTTAATAGACGCATTGGCCATGGACAAAAAGACAAATATCGTGTAAGAATATATTGGAGCAATGCTTAAAACCAATACGGGTTACCTAAAATATAAACATTGGGGTTTACAAAGCTTTCAAAAAGAACAAACGGGAACAAGAAAAATTGAAAAGAATTTTTTTTTTCGCAATTTTATTTTCTACTAAGATGACAATATTGATTGCAACAAAGCACTTCGTTAAATTTGTTTCTCTGTTGATTTGTTTCAGATATTTTGTCAGTCAAAATAAAACACCATAATAAAAAGAAATATTTCAGGATCAAAGCTATACGAGTCATCTTTTCAGCTATGTTTTCTATTCTACTATATGAATAATAAATTATTTGCACCGTATAGTCCCCAATAAACTCTTAGAAACTAAATTGACGACCACTACATAATATCTAATACATTCGACAATAAACACCAACCAAGCGTATATCACACCACGTATCACATACACTAAATAGATCTGAATAATATACAAATTATAATACGAATTAGGTAGGCATTACAACACTTATCATGACGATATAAGCATGAATTATAACGTTATAAGATTTTGTATATATCGTTAATGGCCTACGTGTAATTGCCCGAATTAATTAAAAAAATCTTTTCAAATAATTGAATAATAACACATTGTACTGGTTTATGAATACTGATTGATATAGAGGGTGTCTACTTGGCGTTAAATTGAAACCTTAATTTCTATTATATTTTTGATCGACCTTTTTGATTGGAATAAAAAATGCAGGATAAATAATTCTGAAAGTTAGTAATTTATGCGTTCCGTGATAGCCTATAATTTGTTTTTAATTAGGCCATTTTTAGTATTTTTAAATAGATGTATAAATTTCCTCATTTGAATATTCCCTTCCTACATTAACATTCTGTGTCTACTACTTTATTGTCACAGGTTGCAAGTCTTTGATTGTTTTGGTTTTTGTGGAAATGAGAGGTTTTCTTAGTAAAGAATGAATAAACGAAACAAAAAGTCAAACAGATACATGTATTCAGTGGTGGAGCCAAAGAGGTGCAGAGGGGGCAGCTGTCCCCTCGCAGCCCCAAAAGCAAGTTTTTCGGGCAAAAATATCATAACTAGGTTAGAAATTCGGACAATCTCTTATATTTCGCCCCCCTCGGACGTAAACTGCTTGTATTGGATTTCATATTTTTTTTATTTGTCTATTGCACTAAAGGGTATATTAACTGCACCCTATTTAAGAAGATCTCTTTATCTGTGACCTCGGCCAGTGCTTTACATAGTAGTTTCTATGAACTTCTTCACTCTAAAGGTACCATTATGTGTTATATTTACATGTATATCAATGTATTGTACAACCACGCTGTCATCACAAGGTTTTGAACTGTTTGTGGAACCATATTGTGTCATCATAGTTCTATGGTCTCATATAAAAATATGATAGTGTAGCCCATGAAATCATTGTACAACGTGGGTGTATCCATAGAAAAAACGACGTCATCCCCAAAGCCCTAATGCATTACGTTTGCCGCCTCCGTGAGTAGGCAACACTAGGTGCAAAAAACGGTAGAAAGTAAAACCCCGTTTCGATTTCTCCATCCAAAGTTAAATATAACTTGTACTGATTTGATAAACATATTGAATAAATTGAATCATTTCACCTCTTTCCACTCCATGATTTTCTTATAAAACGAATTATTTCGACATATAAAATGTGGTTTACTTCAAATTTACGATTCTTTGTTACGATCAATGAACCTTATGTCGGTTAACGTAAAAAATAATTAAATTCATCTCGATATAAAATTCAATCTTTTGAAATTGACTTAGAAACTTTCCCTACTTTTAAATTAGACATAAGTTTATCAATATTAGAGCCTCGAGTTCCCAATTAACACCCAATTTTCTTCCTTCGCTAGTGAAGAGTTGGTAATGTTCTGCCGCCAATTAGCACGTGCTATATGATTGACGTATTATGATATTGGTGATTAGACTGTTCATTAAATGATATCCAATCTATAATTTGTGAGAAAGACTTTTTCAAACGAGATGTGAACATAACTATAAATTATTTTACGACTTTCAGCAGATGTTTTATTTCCTAAAGGCCTTTGAGTTTGTGGCAATATAAACAGTATAGAGATCAGTAAAATTATTTTAAGGCCAGTAAAACGATTTTATTTCCTACAAACTGATCATTTTTATCGTATTTTCCATGGGCCAAGAAATAATTATGATGACTCGTAAGGTGTTTATGAGAAGAAATCGAAGAAAATCTTTGGAAAGCTAGATATAGCCTAGTAATTAACTGGTAATTATTTAACTTAGGTTTTCCAGATATCAGATGGCTTGTCTATTATATTTTAGTTACTGTTTTTTTCTACAATTATTATTATTATTATTTGCTTATGATTTTCATTTCATTTCAGTGGTCAAAATTCAGGTAATTATTGTCATTTTTCATTGCTCTGAATTTCAATAAGTTGATAGCCGAAAAAAAGGAAACCGAGGTATTATCTCGACTTATGCATAGAATTGAAACCTAGCGTTTAACTCACTGAGCCACCGCGGCTCCCCTATATATCCATTAATGACATGGTTTTGCGGCGGCGTATTGAGACAAGTGTAAATGAAAGCACTGGCCTGGGTTACAGAGCAATAAATAAGTTGATGGATAAAAATTAGACATTAGTATGATCTAACAACCTGGGAGATGAAATCCCGAGAAAGCTGTTACGAATTGATGTTGTATATTAGCAGCACATATATGGAATTATTGGCCCGTTAACTTAATTTCTATTGTTCATTTTCTACTACTCGGTTGTTTATTGTACCGAAAAATTCATTAAGCAAAAATCAAGTTAACTTTGTTTCGTTTTTTCAGTCGAATTTATATATCATTGATCTTTTTTTGACATGGGGAGTTGAAGCTTCAAGGTGATTTATTAATGAGTAAAATCTATGTATATTGTTACTAAGAGTATGATGGACCAAGAGTGATATTGGTACCAACCCATCTTTCCTGGCCACGTATTCTCGAAACAATCTTAGCACTAGGATGTCCTAGAAACAGTGTTGAAGATATTCCCCCAAAGAAGCACTGGCCAAGGTCACAAGAAGAGAACATACTTCTTTTACATCAATTATCAATTTGAGTGATAAAGAATAAATTGAAATGGTACTATTCGCTGCGTGCAAAGAGAAATTACAGCAACAGATTTAATTATCCATAAACCAGCCTACAATTAGATACAGGTAATCCTCAACTTTATGACAGTGGAACAGTTGGTAGCCATCGTGATTTTTATCTGCTAGGAGATTAAGTATCTTGGGTTCGAATCCTCCTCATGGTAAGAAAAATGCTGATTCCATAGCAAGTGCCTCCGAAAGTCGACTCTCGGTTCACTATCAGCTAAACTTTATGAACTCAAAGTTTAATCTTTAATCCCGTTGTTCTCTGACATAATTTGAATTATTTACATGTAAACGTCAGAATTAAGACAGAAAGAAGTTGTAGGGTTGACGAACACGTGTAACTTTTCTCATAAAATCGTGATATGTGATAAACGTAGACCACAGAAGCTAATGACGTCACAAAATTTCAAAATATCTCTACAGATTCTGTTTCACAATAAACTTTGTCTTATGCCCCGGAAGTGATTACCTTAAACACCCGAATCTTGGTGTCGTGATAATTAGAATGAATTAATTAAGAAATCTGACAAATTAACCTTCAAATTAGTCCTTTTGCTTTTCTGATTTACAAAAAATATATCTCAAACATCAGGTAATAGCAAACAGTTGTATTTTTTGATATAGGCAATATACACCTGTTGTACAACAACGTCTTACAACAGTGACGTATTACGTTATGGTATAAAATAGAAGGTAGTGGTAGGTTTGCGGTATTATTTACATCGATGAAGATTTTCTTGAAAGAATTCTACGATATTTAACAATGAAAATTATTCTTCCGATACATCATATCTAAATATGGGAAGGAAGAGTAATATACAAATTTACTGTCTCAAAAGAAGAAAAATGTGAGATTATCCGGTAAGGTTTTGAAGCCCTCAATCTTAAGGACCTTATAAGTCATTTTCGGCTATTTTGAAGAGAAAAAAACCTAAAAGACTTCGATTCTGTGCTGTATTAGTAATATCCACTACAAAGATGATGTACATGATATATGAATATTTTGGT